AAACATCAGCCTTCCTGCTCCTCTGATGCTGCTTGGCCTGCTGTGTTCATCCAGCTCTACACCTTGTTAGCCCAATAATGAAAGCTAGTTATCCAGATTTGTATTTACTGGCACTGACTGGAGTAAGACCTAATCCAGACATTTCTAATTGGTTGGTAAGAATAGGAGCACAGAACCTATGGTCATTCCCTACAGATGCAAATCTCTGATAGTATTTAGTTTCTAAATACTTTTTACTAAATAATAAACCCAGTATTTAGAGACAATTTAGAACCAATATACTGCAGTCTCCATCCTGGACTTTTTGAATGTGGACTAAATCCAGCACCTGATTTCTATCTCATGAGTAGAATCACTGAACCAATTGCCACTCCGTGTGATTACAAATATCCAATGGGATATCAATCCAACAATTTGACATCTATTCCACAGACTCACAGGTGAGGAGGATATGAATAAACTAAAGGCTAACCTATTCGGTACTGTATCATTGGATAGAAATTCAAATCTCTTCCGCATATTACTGGAAGCTGGGACACTACTTGCTATATTCTCATGGATGTTATCATAAAAGTATATTCATTTATAGTCACAATTATAGCCTGTCACATTTTGTGACATACCATCAGATAATAATGCATATATTCTGCCAGATTGCAATGATACGTTACTTGAAAAATACAAGCACGAAGTAGCTCTTTTTGATTTTTCTGAATAATAATGTTGTGTTCACTCACACTTTAATGACATATTACTGATGATGGCATAATTCTTTATCGTAGTTTGTTGACATATTTCACGAAGGTAACATGTATATTTTGTTGCGCTTCTTGCATTCTGAATAATAACTCGTGTTCAGCGTTACACTTGTGACATTGTCAGAGAATAAATACTTATGTTCTGTCACAGCTTTGTGACATACTGCTGGGTAATATACACATCCTGCAGCTCTAGGTAATAAAATATATATTGTCATACTTTTGTGACTTTATTGGGTAATATGCACACATCTTACTCTTGTCGTGCTGTGTGAAATTCTACTGGACATAGCAGACCTGGTCTGGAAACTGCCACAGAGTTTAATTTATTACAAGAAGGTAATAATGTTAGACATTGCCATCATGTAACTGAACAGTATATTTATCACACTTTAAAGATATATTACTGAATATTTTACATGCATGCCAGTCATTGTGAAATAATGCTGTGAATCATTAATAACATATACACAGTCGTTTTTGATGCTAGCTATATTACCTTGTGAACTTAGTTGTACTTTGTTGTACTGCTTGATGAAATATAATCAAAATCTCATGGATATAGCATTTCACTATTTCATGTTTAATAATATCTCACTTATCACGCCTCCTAGTACATTTTGTCATCGTTTGATGTCAAAACAACGAAACCTTGCTACACTTCCAGTATATATTACCAGTCAATGGTTAGCATGTAACGCATTGCTCACATAGGTGACATATTTGCAGGTAATAACACAAGCTCTGGTAATGCTTGATGACCTGTCACTAAGTGATATCATTCGCTAGTGTTTAAAAAAAAGTCATTGCTTGCAAGGGTATCTGCAATTAATGATGCTGCTGGTTGGCTTTATTTAACTGCACGCTTTCTCAGGTAATAGGGTTACTCAGCTGACCTTTATTGTCGACAGGAAGCAGCAGCTTATTTATACTTTGCCGGGCTGATAGTTTATATAGAAATTAGAAGGTAATTTTTGCATTTTCTACCTTTCTAGAAACTAAATGCAGAATGACATATTGGATGGAATTCGACAGTGCCAGAAGTTTATACAGTGTGAAAGATAGAAATGACATTGAACAAAATTTAATTTAATTCCAATGATGCAATAATATTGGTTATTTTCCCGTTTGGCAAGAGCTCACACAAGGAAAACAAACATTTGGGGTGGGTGATGACATAGTCGGGAGAAAGCTGCTGCGAAGAGGCTGAGCACATCCCCCTGCAGGAAGGAAGTGGATTCTGGAGAAGGAAAACAAAAGATGGCAGCCGCTCTGACCGCAGTTTGAACCAGACCTCATCGCCACCCAGCTGTTTCCCAGCAACTTCCCATTACCTTTACATGACACTTTACCACGTTCTATCAATAGTAGTCAACAGTGTGTTCCCCTAATTAAAAAGTAAATATCAAGTTAGATACACAACTCAGACTCACCTCTTGTGTAATTTAAGCATAAATGTTTTAGAGGCCAGCACACTCCACATTCATACAATACGACGACCTTTGGTGATTAGACCCGTTATATCGATGCATTAACAGCTTTGTTCCTCTTATTTCCTCCCCGAGTCTCACGAAGACCATTTCTAGAGAAGACAGGGGCTTGCATTTTACGGAAATTGAAAACATTGTAAAGAAAACTTAGCTTTACCGTAACAGGGTCTTAACATCCACATAATTTGCTGAAACAAATTGACACATCCCAGCCAAAAAGAATGGGAATGCAAGCTTGCATTTCTCCCCACTCGGGAGGCCAAAGCGATTGATACCAAACTGCTACGACGGTCCTATCCACACGTTTAAAATAGTAACTTCAACTTGTTAACACAACTTACCGAAAAGCTCATTGGGCGGCCTTCAGTTAACTTGCTTTGCTGTTTACAAAACTCAAACATGGTCAAGTTTCCACCATGATCACAAGTTCTCACTGCGTTTGCTGTATTTCCGTGCAGCTTAATAGATAACGATATTTGGAAACCAGAACAGGCAGCTACCGCAGTTTACACTTGACCAAGAAATCGAGCTCAAATTAATCAAGAACAAGTTGTTAAAATGTGTATTGCACCATCACAAACCTTTAAGAAATCAATTTCTTTGCATCAAGACAACAGAACAAACAAAATAAACGTATTTTCTTTGAAAGTGTATCCATTACTTCTAACATCGCAGGAAACAAAACTGTAATGTTTTACTGCCGATCTTGAACGTTTCACAAAAAATTATCTTTACCAGTTGTTATAATTGCGAACTACGAGCTGTGTATTCATATTAATCTATAGTGCGGCTTGTGTGGAAAGAGTCTGAATAAATAAATTGTCCTCATATTTATATTTTGATATGCTATCACTACAAGGCATCGATAAATAATTATTTTAATCAGACATTATGAGCTCTCATTAATTCATTAAAATTAATACAGTCCCGCTTACTCCTGAATGAGGATGTTATAAACAGCTGTTCTTTATACATATTTTATAGTTCAATCAGATAAAGCGCATGTGCATCGTTTAAATTATTAAATATAAACATTTTAGCCTAAATCTATATGACTGTCTATAATTAGTTTGGAAAGCACAATACACTCAAATATGCCGTTTCCCCCATTAAAGAATTTGCTTTTGCATAGGCGTTTACCTGCACTATAAATACTTCTATAGCGTCTGTTTGGGTTTTCAGCATACTGGATTATCACAAAACAATGCGTGTATTTTACATTGCAATGGAAAATTATGAAGTAACTGAATCGTTAATGTTTCCCGCGCATCTTTTAAAGTAGACATAGATTTAATAATCATATCAACTCAAGACAAAGGAATATAATGATGGAAGAGACCGGAAGTTTTGAAAGGTTTCGGTTGTAATAACCACAATACTCGTCTTTTCCGCGAACTCTTTAATTAATCTTTAATTTAACAAACTTTGGACGTTCCACAGATAAATAGATAAGTTGGTAAATCTATGCCGAAATCCATTTTAGGAACATTTGCGATTTGTTTAACGAGCTTTACCAACTAACATCGATGGAAGATATGCACGCATAACAAAATATATAATATCTTGTATCACGCAATTTTAAAAAATTTATCTTGTGATAAATGTTCGATTTTTTTTCCCCGGAAATATATTAAACAAAAGTCTACATCAATTTATGTTGAAATTGTTTTAGTCATCGTATCATTTTGAGAACAGCTACAAAGCGTGAAAACCACCACAGTATGTTGCTATTTTCTATGCCATCTTTTTAAAGTTGAAAATCGAGTTTAACAGGTGTCCGTCAAGTGTGGTTATACTGCGTGTCACTGGTTATTAAGTAAGCGTTCTATAATTCCTGAATATTTTATTTATACGTTTTGAAAAATGCCTTTAAAATCCTGCCGGATATATTTGTATGTGTGGTGCTTTTCTGTTAGCCGTCTGCAAAATCACACAAACCCTACAATACAATTTGAACTCGTGTACTACTATAGAAATATAGTATATATAGACCCTGACATTGCCGTTCCTGATGTAGGTTACACTCCAGGAATGAGTCTGGCACCCTGGCTTAGTCTACAATATAAATCAGGCTTGTACAAACGCGATAATAACGTCAAAAAGTCGAGACCTTCCGGCTTTCGTGAGGTTGGAACCAAAACTTCTGCCATTTTTTCTTTTGTTCCCCTGTTTCCTGGCGGTAATCCCTTTTCTGAAATAAAGACATTCGACAATTGAAAAGACATTGCGTGCCTTATTAGCGTTTATTCTGAATCAAAAATAATGAGTAAAAAAATCTTTTGATCACTTCAGGAAAAAGGCTTATTTTTATACAGGGGCCTTTTTGTTTTTGTTGACTTTATTTTACTTTGACTCTTGTGGCCAGGAAGCTTAGTCCAAACAATTTCGCCTCTTTTCTTGCGCCGTTCTTTATTGAGGTGAAACTTATAGGCTTAAAAACAAAACTGAATAAACATTTCAAGATTGTTTTTAAAAAAAAACAAAAATAGCAAAACTGTTATAAGATGTGTAGAACAGGTGGCAAGTGGTACATAAATTAGAAATGAACCAAACTTTAAAAATAACCCCTTTTGACTCGAAAAGGAAGTATTTTCCCAAAATCTGTGGTAACACATTAATAGGTTACAGTCACAGTACAAAGATTGATTCATTGATGAAGAAAAAATAAATAATTGGCGGTCCTTTTTTTTTTAACAGCCCTCTTGTTAAGGCTAGTACAGTTTACTGTCAGGATCAGAACCTAGACAAAACAATAAAAGACACAAATAAATTACACCAGATCATTAAACTGCATAGATCCACAACTTTCCTTTAGCTATGGAACTCTAGCTCTGTTTGACTAATGCACAATGGTTGAATTACCCCATAAATTAATTTCTGTACCCAGTGAATAAATGTTGTGATCATGATGCAGATGCATATTACAGTATTAAGCAAATATATATTCATAATGTTCACATTCAGTAAACATATTTCATGCAATATTTTGCCTTTTTATTACAATATCTAGATAACGTAATGATAGAATTCAATAAACATGTTGTACATAATCAACAAACCTGTATAACATTTGGTAGAAGACATACATAGATATTACAGTGTCCAGAAAATGCCTTTGTTAGTGTTTAGCAAATATATATTTTACAATATTCAGCAAACTATTCTAACTGTCAGTAACATACTACTGAATTGAGAAAGCGTATATTACTACATTAAAACATTGTGAACGTACATATTACAACACCTGATAAATACATACTAAAGTCAAGTACATACATATATTACAACATTAATTATATAGTATATCATTTCATAAACCAACATATCACAACATTCAGGAAATATAGGCAACATTCAGGAAACAAATTCAAGATTTCTTTAAAATGGAATTTGTCACAATGTATTGGCATGTTTTTGTACTAATGACTGAATACTGTAATGTACATTGTTGTTGGTGATATTTGCTGAGCAGTTTAAACGATGTACTTGACTAATCTAGTGGTTCAGCAATGGTGCTAGTAGAAGTACTATGTTTCCCCACTGTGCCGCTGTCCCTTGGATGTTTCATGTAGTTATGGATTTTAGTCATAAACGTAATCAAAATTCTGCTGCTTAATTTAAGACAATGCCCATTTCTCATTTCAAGTTCATTGTAAGCCAAGGCAACGATTTAGAAACATGGATGTCTTCTTCAATTGCAGCGTATCATATGATCTATAACATATTAACATGGACACATAATATAACCCATCAGTCATTATCCATAAAATATTGTCCAACATTAACATCCAGCAAAATGTCTACATTGCATTGACGTATGCTAATTCTCAGCATGGAATATAATAGTTTTTTTGATATTTGATTTTGATATTAGAGCCCCAAGTAACTGTCCCTGTTCTTATAAAATTAAATTTACTTCTAATTGAGTTCTGTATTAGTAAAGTGGAATGTATGCATATTAGTACTTAAATAGACAAATGCGTTGAATGTAATAAGTGTCAGGGGAAAATATTAAACACAAGCGATACAATAAATAAAGTGCATTGCTGTATTTGATGCAACTAATCAAATATCGCATATGCTTTGTTTACCTGTAGGAGCTCATTTTGCAACAGTTGTATTTGGTTATGTAATCCCTAGTTGAGCAGATATAATTGTACAATGGTCAACGTCCACTACTTTTGTAAAGTGCATGCATACCATTATGAATGCTACAGTTGTCAAGCATTCTTATGGCGAAGTATCTCATGACAATTGCAAAGCATCTTTGCGAGGGGAATAGATTCTGTAGATTCGACAGAAATATGCCATTGGCATTATTTCCTTATTTTCAACAAACCTGTGATATCCATAACACTATGTTGACCAGTTACTTTTACCTGCACTGCTTCCTGCCATCAATCTGAAGAGACTGCCAATTGCAGAGTAGTCAAACGGCTTAGTCTTCTACTTAAAATGTACCTGCATTCTTTCGCATTTTGTGATTGTAAACCAGGGCAAGCCAACCTATTGTGGTGGTAGAGGATGAGTTTGGATTATGCCATTCTGCATCAAGACAGAGTTTGGTGCAGATTGTTTTGATGTTTTGGCAGCCTTGCGAAGTTAAAACGACGCGAATGTCTTGGCGAGCAAATGAGTCAAGAAAATAAATGCATAATTACATCTCTAACATGTAGTCTCGCCTTCCACTTACTCTCTATACAAAGATGACAACAGTGCTTGACATATCTAAGCTTGACATATTTCAATAACGACTCCACACCATAATCGCCAACGAGCTGTTGGTCGAGATGCAATTGTTTTAAAGCTGCCAGTAGCACCCGATCAAGGAAATACTGTGTATTGTACCTGTTACGGTGCTGCTGCTCACTCTCCTTTCAGACTTCAGATGTCCTTATCTCTATTGATTGTGGCATAGAAACCGGGAGACAGATGAATATGATATTCGACAGACGTTGCTCAAACGTAAATAACATGTTCAGTGAATGATGTATTTATGCCATTATCCTGTAAATTAATCGAGGAAAATACATCTTCCCAAATATCAAAATCTATTTATAGACGTTAGCCACAACGTGTGCATCTGACCTTCAAATATAGCGATCTCGATCAGGGGACGCTGTGTGTTTATGTGTCTGAGATTCTACTCCTTTCATCAATTAACATGTTAACACTTTTAAGACAAGCAAGGTTATGTTAAACAAAAAAAAAGTACTGTTACAGAGAAGATTGCATTTAAGCAACCTAAACTGCATCGGAGTTGGTTAAAACATCCTTGAGAAACAATCTTTCAGTTTAAACCGGTATTATGCCATCGAGATGTTTAGCATTAGCTTAGTAGGAAACATATTTCCTGCACTGCCCGCAGCAGAAGGAAACACAACATAATCTTTTTTTTTAAATCACGTCGTTGCATTTTTATGAGAAAAACGATAAGAAATCGCTGAACTTGTCAATTTGGTGAGTGAGTGGCATTGCTATTTGCTTATCGATGTGGACTTAATTTTACACTTTCAATAGCAAAACTTGCTCATTATTCTTCTAGTATATCATTTTGTTGTGTAGTCCAACAGTCTTAAAGAATAGATTCTTCTGTTTGGTGACAAAAAAGTCAATATAACTTTTTAAAATAAGATTCAATTGTCATGAATCTTTATCAACAATTTCAGTAATGGGTTAGCCCTTGCTCGGCTTGTGTCATATCGAACATCGACGATAAGATTTCCCAACAGACAAATGCAGAACGTTGATCTATTAACGGAGCAAAAATTATGGACTGATCAGCCCAAATTAAACAGCAAAATGTGGAATGCTATAATGTCCATCAGTATGCACTTTGGAATACTTCAAAAGCTGGCAGTCATTCTTCATTTACAAAATCTACGGATGAACTATGGTATAAAGAGGTACATAAAATATTTTGACAATCCCATTAAACAAATGCCCAACAATACTGAAAGTTATCTTACAGCTATGTGCAACGCAGCCCAATATTGTAATAAGCGAACAATCAATTCTATGGCAAGGATTCACAAAATACACTAATAACATGAGTGCTTGTGTGTTGGGGGGAGTAGTGAAGGGTGAGTGCTGGAGTTCTATTATGCAGCTGACAATAATGACCGTTCTTTGTCATGCAACACAATTCTGCAAAAAAAGGTAATATCAATGAAATTACGAATAAAATAAACAAAATGTTGAGGCGATGGGCAGTAAAAGAATCCCCTTTTAGGGAAACGCTATGTGTCTTGTAACCCTCGCATTGTTTTAAATGTACTCTGTGTCCATTTAACCCCACGCAGTTATGTGAGAAATAAGTCAGAAAGTAAAGTGAGAACGAATAAAGTTAACTGTATGAACGATGGTCAGTGCTGTCTTCATAACAGATGAAGTGTGTCAAACTGCTAGATAAGACATGTTGAGAGGATTGAGCCGGTGGCATCAAATGGCTTGAGATGATACATGTACAATAAAACTGATTTCACTTAAATATTGGATGATACAAAGTAATTGGACATTTTTTAAACAGGGAGATGGAATCAATAACTCGATTCCATTCAGAATGGGTGCTTCAAGTTGCATCAGCCCAACAGTTTGAACGGCTTAGCTTGAAACTTAAATTTGAGAAATATTTAAAACGGAAATAGTTTACATACTGTATCAATTGGCCATTCAGTACACAAGATTAGAAAGATATTATTGATCAATTCAACTGCCTAAACTGATCTTCATTTTGCCACCACAACTTTATAGAATGTTAAAGTGTGATTGACTGTGAAGCACTGTATGCAGCTAATCGTGTTAGTATAGTACATTGGCATGTTCATCTGACTGCAATTTACGGAAAGTTTCACCCCGGCATATTTCTTCCAGCTTGGAACAATGCATTCATCCTGATTGTTGTGTAAGTTTATTCATACATGTGAATATGTTCAGAAATGTAATTACGTGAGTGATAGAAGACAGTATATCTACGCAAGATTTTCCTGTTGCTGTTGCATCTTTACACCTTCCATTAATGTCAAACAGTTGCTAAAGGCTTCAGAGTACCGGTTGAAGCTGCAGCCGATTCATGCGTCAATCATTACACATTTCAACGTCTCGCTTGGATTTAGAAATGCACTTTTTTAATGTATGTAATTTATAAATAAGCTCAGCTCCATCAGTTCGATAGTTTAGAACCTGATCACT